CACCTTGAGTTGTTGGCTAGTTATTTGAGAAACAGTAAAGATTATATTCACTTTGTGCTCATGTATTGTATTTGTAAGTACGTGTCTCGTAATTCGATAATTTTCTTCCTTTCTCATGGAGCGGACCGAACGCCTCGGCAGTATAATAGATACATATATGATTCGTGCTGCTCGACCCTCGACAGTGTATACATTACTCTGGATCGGGCCGAACAACCTCGACATAATCGTGCGTTATATCGCTGGTAGTCCGAATATTCACAAGATTATCTTTCTATTGATGCTCAGCATTTTATATGGAACTTCTTATCCGTTTGTTACCGGTACTTGATACATCTGAGCTGATGAGGTAGAATACAAGACCGCGAAATTCATACTTTAAAAGAAATATTTGGAAGATTAGGTAACTCACAGATTTATACCATTATGACGGTGTGCTTCACATCTGCTTATTATTTTATTATATTGCTTTGTTGGGCCTTTAGTAAGTGTCGATGTCGACCCATCATCACTACTTCTCCGGGGTTAAGCTAGATACTTATTGGGTACACATTGATTTACGTACTCATGCTATACTGGCTGCACTTATTGTGTAGGTATATATATATTTTTGGTGGTCCTCTGGGTGCAGAGGCGCAGCTATTGCAGGGACTTTACGGTGAGCTACATTCCATGTTACGATCCGCAACATACAGAGTCTCCATCATAGTTATTTATATTCTCCTATCTAACTTGTATTCCAGATGGATGTTGTATTTTTATTGTACTCTTTAGTAGATACTCATGCACTTGTGACACCGGATCTTGGGGGTTCCTACTGGTTGTTCATTATTGTAGTTCACGTAAATATTCTCATTTTACCCTGTAAATTCTATTTTATACTATTTAATTAATGAAAATTATGATTTCAAAAGTAATAAAAATAAGTTGATCAATCACCATTGGCTTTCCTGACGGCGGCATTAGGCGTCATCACAGCCTATAGTGGATTTTGGGTTGTAACAATTACACAATGAGCAAATTACCCCTGCGGTTTTCCGTGGAAATTTACCTAAAATAAATTAATTAATTAAATTTAAACTACTTCTTACCAATTTGAGAATAGTACTTTTCAAAATAAGCGAATTTTGAAAGCTTAATCAAATATGCTATTAATATAATCCGATTGTTTTGGTGTTTCGCCGTTTTCTCTTCCCCCTAGACTAGAATCTATGGATAGTTGAGTGACCGAAAGTGCAAATTTCCTAATCTTAGGGTGTGTTTGGTAGGAAGAAAAATATTTTCCTAGAAAATATTTTCGGGTGTGTTTGGTATGAAGGAAAATATTTTTCGAAAAATATTTTTCAATTTTTCATGTTTGGTTGGCTTAAATGTTTTGGAAAAGATTTTCCTCATCAACTCATTTTTCTCCAATTGAAGAAAAATATTTTCCTTATCAAGAAAAAGAAAAATATTTTTCAAAACTCCTTTCAACCTTCCCACCATATTCCCATCCCCACCACCCCCACCCTAAATAAAAAATTATTAATAATACTTTCTTTTTATGTTATTTTTCATTTTAACAAATGAGTATTTTTTTTTCATGATGTAGAAAAAGTATTTTCCTTCGTTTCAACAAAAAAAAGTATTTTCTTTTCATGACGTAAAAAAAATATTTTTTTCATTTCAACAAAATGAGTATTTTCTTTTCATGACGTAGAAAAAGTATTTTTTTTTTATTTCAATAAAAATGATTACTTTATTTTCATGTTGTAGAAAAAGTACTTTCTTTTTCAACCAAAAAGAGTATTTTCTTTATAGTTATGGAGCATAAATTTCAACGTTGTGTTGCGTAAAAAAGTAAAGCAAAATATTAGTTCCTTTGAGTTTGTATGAATTTTTAAAAGAATAATTAAATTATTAAAGAAAATAAAGTCTTGAATAAGTTGGGTATTTGGAGGGGAGAGAATAAGGAAACATGGGAACTTGGGGAAGGGGTGAGGAGAATAACATAAAAAAATATTTCCTAAAAAATATTTTCTACTCTCTAACCAAACACAAAAAAATATTTTAGAAAAAAACAATTCCGAAATTATTTTTACATTCATCAATCAAACAAGAAAAAATAAGTCATAAAACTACTCATTTTTCGTGGAAACATTTTCCTTTCGTACAAAACACACCCTTAATATAATACCGCTTGTTTTGGTGTTTTGCCGTTTCCTCTTACTTCCCACAAAACCCAAACACAAAAAGAAAAAACCCTTCTCTTTTGTTCCCGCTTTGTCTCTCTCTGTATACCTGTCTCTATCTTCACTACTATCTATGCACACACAGTTACACACAGATAAATAAGTAGATAGATAAACAGTAGAAGCAAAGGTTTATTAGGGTTTATTGTTTTACTGTGGTAGGGGTTTATCTTTATCACTCCGTTGTGTGAATACTAACAACAGTAGTAGAAGTGGTGACTGTGAAATGCGCCAAAAGGATGCAGAAATTGTTAAGCAGAAACCCATCTTTACAATTACCTCCTCCAATCCTATCCCTTAACGCTCTTTCTTACCCCATAGCCATAGGGTTTTACAAAAACCCACTTTCTGCTAACCCCAAACTCAGCCCTAAAACAATGGCTTCTTCTTCTTCTTCAGCCGCCCTCCACCATTTCACTAATCCCTTTTCCGGAGGTTTTCGGAATATTTCTACTGATTCTAAGTCGTTTCTTCCTAGGGTTAATAGTTGCCGCATGTGTAGGTGTTCTCTTGATACTACTGCGCCGGTGAGGGCTTGGGTTGTTTTGAAGCAGAGTAGGACTAGTGCCGCCTGGTTCGGCACCCTGGCTGCTTCGGCTTCGGACAAGGGTGTTCCGGTGACTTCTGGTGAAGAGGAGAAGGATTTAGAAAATGGGGTTGTTGAGGAGAATGCTGTTAATGGTTCTGCAGAGGAGGAGGAGAAGACGGGGGTGGGTAGGTTGCATAGGCGGCAGAGGGGTGGTGTTGGGGAAGGAGGAGGAGGAGAAGAGGTTCTTGCTAGTCCAGATTTACTAACAATACCGGGTGTTGGGCCAAGGAATTTGAGGAAGTTGGTGCAGAAGGGTTTTATGGGTGTTGATCAGCTCAAGCAGCTCTACAGAGATAAGGTAATAC